AGGGAGAAGCAGGCTCCCAAGGAGCAGAGAGCCCGATGCGGGACTCGATCCCAGGACCCTGGGATCATGACCTGAGCCGAAGGCAGATGCTTAACCATCTGAGCCACCCAGGCGCCCGAAGCTTAATATTTTCATATATAATCTTGCTAGTCTACTAATCATTCTTGACAAGATATTTATTAGTGTATGTGTTTAATATTATGTATATTAGCAATTAAAATGTGCTAGATATAGAAAATATGTCAGATAATAATACCACTGGAAATGTTTTATATGTTAAATTAGAATTATATGCGGTAGGTGGGGGATTAGTGGAATATATTGAAAAAGGGATTGTGAATCTATGTGGCTGAGAATCTACTATATATATATAAAACATATATAAAATTCTACTATATATAAAATATGAATCTACTATATATAATATATAAAGTAAAAATCTACTATATATAAAATATACGTAAAATTCTTTAATTCTGGGGCAAAAGGTTGAAGAAAGAGCTGTCTTCCAAAAGAGTACTCATCCAAAGGTCATTTATTCACTTGTCAAATATTAAAAAAAAATGTTTTAGCATATCCAGTGGTGTGTTCTAGGGAAGGAGATTCTGATCTAAAAGAAGTCTTTTTGTTGGATAATTTCCTTTAGAGAAATACTTGAACTAATGGACAGTAAAGGAAAATCTAGAAAACAGTTTGGGATTTTGGTACATGGATAACAATTTCAGAGAAGACACTTTTTAAAGCGGGAGGCAAACTAATTTGGGCTTATTTAGCTTATTATAATTTGAGTAAATAAAATAGAGTGGATGAAAAAGAAACGCTAAAATGAGATAAGATTACTGTTCTAACTGTACATGGTTTGTTATTTGGGGAAAGAAGTAAATAATTGGTATCTTTTAACACAGGGATGTGCTTTGTGGTTACCTTCTGTGCACCAATATTGGTAATATCCCCAGGCTTGGAGAACTTGATGGTGAAATCACATCTACTTTGGTTGTGCAGCAGGGAAGGACATTAAACTGCAGGTAATCATCTTCCCCATTCGATGAGAACATTAGTCATCTTACTTCCGAGGAGTGCCTCGTAGAGTTACTTTGGTTTTTTCAGTTCCCATGCGTGTTAGCAAGCCGAAACAGAATCTAGCCTGTAGGGGTGACCAAAAGGGTTGAAAAGAAGCTAAGAATTAGTTGACTATGGTTGATGGAGTTATGTTTAATGGGTCGAGAATATCTTGTAGGGTTTAGTTTGCATTTCATTCCTAATAAGGAAAATGAGTCAGAACTCCTGGGTAAAGTCAGTAGATTAAATATATGCATCTTCCTTTACTCCCTTCTGAGCCCCCACTAAAATGACAGTAACGATCTTTTTTGGAATTCATGTATCCACAGGGCAGTAGAGAAAGGGAGAGGAGACAACAGCAACAAAATTTGGGAGTGTGGAGAGCATATGGATGTGTGGCAAATGATTGTCAAAACTAAGAAAGCTGAATTCCTAAGTCAGTAATGGGGAAAACGGAGAGCTAACCTTGTATATAAAGTCATTTCCCCAAAGACTCAAAAATTGGCAGCATCATCTACTTCTGGAAGACAGAGTAAAAGGATTCAGGGACAGGGAGGGGCTAAAATAGAAAAGATAGTTGAAAAGTCTGCCAACAGATTACTTCCTGACTCACCTAAACTGGGGATTGCTCACCCTCTCATGGAAGATTTTGAGCTTTACATTCTACACATAAACAGGTTTCCGAGCTGAAGGACGACCGGCAATATTGATACCAGGGTGTGTGCAAGTGGACCAGCCTCATTGATGTTCAGCCAGAAAGCCCTAAAATTTCCTATCATTTATCTGATAACTCAAATATGAGCAGTTTATCAGACATGTGAAGAAAGGCTCAAACACACATACACAAAGAGATAAAAACAACCAGAAAAAAGGGCACCTGTCAATATTTATGCGAGATAAGATACTTCTATCATGAAAAAGAATAGAGTGCTATTTTTTTAAACAAATGAAGAACATTCACAGAAACAAATGCTGTTGGAAATTAAAAATATGGAGGTAGAGATTAAACCCAGTAGTTGAAATTATCTCCCAGAAAGTAGGGCAAAAGCAGGAAAGGAGTGGAACAAAGAGAAAACCTCACCAAGTTGGAACAGGAATGATGAACAGGGAAAATAGCAGGGAAGAAATCATCAATGAGTGACTTAGATTGTCTACAAAGGATGGACTTGAGCGTCTACATTGACAGGCTCACCAAGTGCAGGTGCAGTGAGTGAACTCCGAGGCACATCTAAACATATCATTATGCAACTTCAGACCTTAGGACAAAGAAAAGAATCCCAAATGTTTTCAGAGAGGTGAAAAAAAAGATCAGGCTTAGGATCTATCAGCAGGAGCCCTGGGAGCCAGAATACAATGGAAAACATGATTCCTGAACTAAGTTCTGTACCCAGGCAAAATATCGATCAAGTGTGAAGGGAGAAAGTGGACACACTTTTAGATATGCAGGTTTCCCCGCGAATGTACTCCCCTACCCTTTTTCAGGAAGCTATTAGAAATTGGGTTCCACTCAAATGAAAGCGTAAGGTAAGAAAGGGAAAGGCTGGTCATACAGGAAACAAGATACCCACCACGTAGAGTGAAGAGTCAGGGCAACCCTCCAGTGAATGGTGAGGGGAAATCCCAGATACTACAGTGCTGTACAGGGTACAGCGGACAGCCAGATCAGACAGCAGGAGTAGGGTATATTCCAGATAGAAACTCCAGGAGAGATTTCTGCAGGAAGAAGAACTGATGCTCAGACAGCACATCTTGGTGATTTGGGGGTCAACAGAGTTTGATTAGTTTCGTATTGGTGACAAATTCTTAGAAAAGTAGGCAAAAAGACAACCAACAAATAAGAGACTTGCTAATCTGAGGGAAAATGAAAAGTTGTACAGGAAAAGAAAAGGTTTAATTATGGCATACTGTATCACTCAGCTGAGTAACATTTACATAGTCCTAATAGTGTACATTTTTATTATTGATTTGAGTATTGATTAAACAAAATTTATGATGGGAGGATAGGAGAAAGATACAAATTTTCAAATTCCATAGAGGGGAGTCAGTTGGTAGTATCTGAAATGGAAAAATAAAAAAATAGTAACACAAACTCTTAATTAAAGATATGTACATAAATAACAAAAGAATCAATTAAAAGTAGAAAGTGGTTTCCTCCAAGGAGGGATATATGGTGGAGGAGAGGGCACTGAACCACTTTATTGCATTAAAAAAAAAAACGATTTGTCTGTTTGACTCTTTAAACTATATGCATGTGTCCTTTTGATAAAAATAAATAAATAAAAAGAATGGAGATTTATGTGCTGACATTGACCTGGCATCATATGACTACATTAAGGATTTACATTTTAACCGTGTTCTGTTTTATTTATTCTTATATAACATTTAGGTAGTGAAGTTAATAATATAGCCATTCTCAATTACCATTTTTAAATTAGCAATCTTCTTGGGAAATGTAAACCCAGACCAGTTCTCGTCCTTGTTTGAAACATGTTTGAAATCTTGAGACCTACCCACTTATCAAACCAAATACTAGTAATAATGGCTCACTTGACTTGTACATGATAGCCAAGGCAAAATGATAAAGCTATTTCAGTTCAGGCCCTTGTTATAATAATTATGTTTAAATCCTAAAATATATCCATATCTCTGAAAGAATCAGATCAAAAGATTTAATTGCTTTCTCCATTTAGAGGTTGAAATGGTTATGCTATTGTTTTTTTTTTAATTTTTTATTGTTATGTTAATCACCATACATTACATCATTAGTTTTTGATGTAGTGTTCCATGATTCGTTGTTTGTGTATAACACCCAGTGCTCCATGCAGAATGTGCTCTCTTTAATACCCATCATCAGGCTGACCCATCCTCCCACCTCCCTCCCCTCTAGAACCCTCATCAGAGGGACTCTGAAAAACAAGCTATTTGTTTTTATTAGATAATAAATAGAAAAATAGAGAAAGTATTATTGCCCACTTTTTAGTTTAGCTTAGTGTTTTTTAGTGAGAGAGAGAGTGTGTGCATTCTAGCAGAGGGGAAGGAGCAGAGGGAGAGGAAGAGCGAGAATCCCAAGCAGGCTCCACACTTAGCCCAGAGCCCGATGTAGGGCTCGAACTCACAACCCTGAGGTCACGACCCGAGCTGAACTCAAGAGTCAGACACTTAACCCACTTTTTAGTTTTTAAGCAGATTCTCAAAATGAATGTGAATTAATGGACTCCTATTTTCTTTTTGCTCTCTGTTTTTAGTGGTGGGCATGTGAAGCTTGAAGAAGATGTCGATCTTGGCTATGTGGAAGATGGGACACCTTGTGGTCCCCAAATGATGTGCTTAGAACACAGGTGTCTTCCTGTGGCTTCCTTCAACTTTAGTACTTGCTTAAGCAATAAAGAAGGCACTGTTTGTTCAGGAAATGGAGTAAGTATTCAGTACCTTGCCATAGGGAAACTCCTCTATTCTTTTATATCACAGAAACAGGTATGACCCTAACCTGCTTATTTTGTAAAAATCGAAAATGTGCTTATCCATGTTTCTAGCTGGCTTGGAAACAGTTCTTTGGTCATAGTCGTTGGAATATTTCTGTTGTGTAATCTGTGCAAGCCTGGGAATAAGAAAAAGTATAATCTTCCTAATCAAATTCTTCCATTTTTCTTTTTCATTGTGTTAATGTGATCTCATATAATATAATGCTGGTTTTCTACAAGTGATCTGGGAGAGAAGTTTTTTTTGTTTTTTGTTTTTTTTTTTTCCTTGACAGAGAGAGACGGCGAGAGAGGGAACACAAGCAGGGGGAGTGTGAGAGGGAGAAGCAGGCTTCCCACCAAGCAGGGAGCCTGATGCAGGGCACAATCCCAGGACCCTGAGATCATGACCTGAGCCGAAGGCAGACGCTTAACGACTGAGCCACCCAGGCGCCCCTGGGAGAGAAGTTTTAATAAACTCTAATGGGACTTTAAAAAGGGTGTAGAAAAGGGCATTGTCCACAATATTTAACAACTGGTATGGTCTAGTCACTGAGCAATTAGAACAGGTCATAAATAGTTGCTGTAGCCACACCAAGCGTGTATCAGTCAAGGATAACTCCTAGAAATAAAAACTGAATAAGTCAGAGAAATGTTTATCACAGATGAATAGAAAGAATAGCATTGTTTAAAAGACTAAATTCTATTTTTTCAGTCACATATCTGATAATGTAGGTCCTATATAAGTAAGTTTATAAGTTAGATAAACATGCCCCAATAGTGATCACAGTTTGGTCATTTCTGTTAGGAATTCCTATACTAATAAAATAATTTTTACTTCTTTTTCTTTTGGCATGCACTACGATTTTTTTTTTTAAACCCTACCTAGATTCTTGGCTTGAGCTGGTCATATTATCCAGTTGAGGTAAAGGATCCCTGTCCTGAAATTGTAAGCCTTCAATCCTGGTCATTCCATGTAGATCCTCCAGGGATATGCCAAGAATTTTCTTAGGGAGGTCTTACCAACTGTAACTCTTTGCCAAAGGATAGGAGTTCTTATGGCAAGTGAAAATAGAGAAGGCACGTAGTAAGTAGTTCTGCTCCTACAAAGGGGTCTACTAAGTCTTCTTTCTTGAGTAAGTGAGAAGATGTTAAGGGGAAATGCTTTTTTGGGCGGATAGGGCAAAAAGTGGAATTACTTCTTGATCATTCATGCTAATGATAACAATGTCTTCTTCATCTAGAAGTGTATAACATGGAGACCAAACAGTTTTGTTAATAAAATATTTGTTTAACGAATGAATAAATTGATAGACACAAGTAATTCAGGTGGCAAATATCATCCAAATCATTTGCAGTAATTATGCATAATACAGAGACATTATATCCTATATATTTTTAATTCACAGTAACTCTAAATATACAATAAAAATTAAAATGAGAATACAGTAGATACTGTCTATGTACTGTACATTGTATAGTTAAGAGTATGGGCTTGGAATCAGACAGTCTGAGTTTGAATCCCATCTCTGTTTCTTTCTAATTGAGTGAGATTTGGCAACTCATTTAGCCTCTGTGTGATTCGATTTATTCCCCTTTAAAATGAGAAGAAGAATATTGTGTGCTTTACAGGATTGTTGTGAAGAATCAGTGAGTTAAGGGGCGCCTGGGTGGCTCAGTCGTTAAGCGTCTGCCTTCGGCTCAGGTCATGATCCCAGGGT